TTTAATAAAATATTACTATCAATTGTTACGAATGCTCTTCTCAGGCCCAAAAAAACTGCAACAATGTAATCATTATCAATACAGTGTGTACACTTAGACAGTGACAATAACTTCAAGGAGAAACATTTTGATTATAAGTGGACTTTTTCTTTTTGATATTCAACAATGTAACTATATCTATATAGTCTTCTATATAGTCTATATATAGTCTATATGTCTTCAATATATGTTTATGAATATTTTTGCAACATATTTCATATCTACTTTATTATTTAATTTTTTTTAGATTTTATATATACAAATGTTTAATGTTTTTCACTGTGACGCCTTTTCATTCTATGTCTTCATTACTGCTTCAGCTGTATTAGTCTGCATTTTTTGAAATAAAGTATATTATTATTATTACTTGTTTACACTTTCTGAGTTTCATTTTCGGTTTTCGTACCACCATTGGTAGTTCATTGCTGAAATTTGACGTTTAAAAACAAATTTTGAACTAGGATATTCTCAAAGCCTACTTGCGATTGAATTATGAATTCGCTCATCTGTGATTGGCTTAGAGGTAGTCAGTTATGAATCTGGTCAAGGTTATTAGAATTGTGGCTATTTACTCGACGAGAAACGATACAATTATGAATGCTTTGTTCAATACTCACAAACAAAATTTGTTTTTTGTTAACGCTTTCGAATAGCTCAATTAGAACTATAAATATTGGTGCAAGAGTTTCGTGAGGAAATGTGTTTTTTTATGCTTCTTGACGATCTTTTAACCAAATTTTCAATAACTGCAATAGCTCTTGAGATATTTTTTCGAAAATGAACATTTCAATCATAATTTTCTGTGGGGGCGAACTCAAATTTTAACAGTTACGAACTAGACTAAGCATCATCCCTATAGAAACGGAATTTTCACCGAATGTTGAAAGCTTATCCAAAAGGCACGCGTGTATGCCCTAGGATTTTGGCTTGACGTCATCACTATGACGCAATTCTCGACCTACCAGCAAAACGCGCTTCACAAGAGAATTATTTTCGATGCTTACTTTATACCGTTGGGATTTAAATCGAATTCCTGATACGAGGGTGAAAGAGTCAGGATTTGATTGCTTTGCTATAAATATTTCCTGCATCGTGAATGCATCACGACATGACTGAATGATCGAGCAAACCAAATACTCTTAAAATGAACTCATACATGGACATTTTCATTTTTAGGACCATCTTTGTAGCTTCAATGCAAGTACACAGTGTAAAAAAATGAAGTCATTGAGATAATATCTACATTGAAAAACAACAGCTCTTCAGGTCTTGATAGCATAACGGTCCAGTTCATAACAAAACATCATCTACTTCTATTGAGTCCCCGATCAGTCTACTCTCTTCGGCGGCTAAGCTGGGTGAAAGAGTTGTTCTCCAAAGGCTCAGCGAAGAAGTTGAGGACCGAAATGTTCTGCCTGATGAACAATTTGGCTTCAGGAGAGATCACTCCACTGAGTTACAGGCTCTAAGGCTGGTCGAAAACACCATCAAAGAGCTCAACTAAAAACAAAAAAGAACATATTGTGCTACTTGACACCTCGAAGGCCTTCGACCGTGTTTGGCACGAAGGTCTTCTGCACAAATTAAACGCGTTCGACCTGTCTCGGGACCTCGTCCGGTGGATCGGGTCTCTCCTGAAAGACAGGACATTTCAGGTCAGAGTAGAGGGATCTCTGTCTGATAACAGAGAGATATCCTTGCTGGAGGGCCACAGGGGGCCGTGCTCTCTCCGACGTTGTACTCACTTTACACCAGTGACCTTCCGAGGCCCGAGCGTGTGAAGTTATCTCTGTACGCCGATGACACGGATCTCTTCTCATCTTCCATGGGTCGAGAGCTCGGCGTCGTCTATATGCAACGTGCATTGGACGACCTCGAGCGCTGGTACCTTGATTGGAAGATCCGAGTGAACCCGGAAAAGACTCAGGCAATAACCATGGGAAGACTGAAATCTTCTCCGGCCAGAAAAGTGAGAATCTCTGGAAGGAAGATTGACTGGCAAGCGCGGGTAAAGTACCTCGGCCTTTTAATAGACCGTAGGCTCACTTGGGAACCGCACATAACGAGCGTTAAATCAAAGATCGAGGGTCGGATAGCACGTCTGCAGATCAACAGAAAATCTGAAATGAGTCTCAAGAACAAGATTACCATCTATAATACGATGTTCAAGCCTGTCATCATGTATGCTTCAGGCGTCTGGGGACAAGCGGCGAAATATAATATCTCCATTCTGGAGGTATTGCAAAACAATTTAATGAGGATGATTATGAATGCTCCTTGGTTCGTGCGGAATGAAGCTATCCGCAGAGATTTGCAGCTGCCTTCCATTCGTCAGTCCATTCAGTCGAGAAATCAGAGAGTTTGCGATGGTGCAGAAACTCATGAAAACCCATCAGTCAGGGAAGCTATGTATTATACTGTAGACGACCCCTCCCGATATAGAAGGCCCCGACACTCTGTCGAATGAAGCTCCTATATCTTCCGTTGAAAGATGAACAACTTTTTCATCCAACTCACCCCAGCCAGGTAGGGGTACACCGTGAAGGGCAGTACTGATGTCTGAGGACACTCATGCCGCCATACCATCAACACCCACCATCAGTTATGACCCGTTTGTCCTTCTGGCAAACATCAGTTCANTTTTTCAATATGGATTTTCATCAAGTATCTATTCAATTATTGATGTATTTGGGTCTATATGTGGACCAACCTGCGATGGGAAGAACACATTGACAACACAATCAAGAGACTCAATAAATTAATCAATAATATCTTATCAAATCAGAAATCTGAATGATAAAAAGTTTTTACTTATGGTTTACAACTCACTTGCTGAATCTTTATTGAGGTACTGTATCATTATATGAGGTGGTCTCAGTATAACATTATTACACGTTCTAGAGGTCATGCAAAATAGCATACCAACAATTTTCAAGAAAAATAGAACGTACTTAACGGAAGACCTTTACAAAGAAACTGGCTTATTTGATGTGAGAAAACTATATACCTAATAATGCTCAATATAGATGCAAAATACCTCCATCTCTCAGATAAGTCATACTTACAACACACCACACACAGAAATTTATATCATATTTTGGTCCAAAATCGTTAAACCTAGTCCCCATATAAATCAGTCATTCCTAATAACTGTGAAATGAAATCAAAACTGAAAGAATATGTGAATCAAAATTATAACTAACTAAAAACCGTTTACGAACTGGAATAATAATAACAAATACATACAAAATATAATGAATGACCATATTCTCTCTCCCTCACAATGAATTTCAATTTGTTTTTTTCGTAGTGACACTGGAAGTACCAACATTCAACCACTTTTTCAGTCTACCTCATTTCATTGAATGAGCAATTTGTTGGCATTAAATTGGATTTCGAACACCCTATCTCTTTCATAGTTATATACAGCCGAAATTAGTTATATTGTTTTTTAATGGATAGGAAGCATTTACAACGTAGCCAATTGAGAACAGTCCAACAAAATTTACGGCTTCTCAAGTGAAAATAAAACAACCTTTCCTTTCCAAGGGGTCCAACAGTATATTCATCTGATATGGATGTAGCCGTTACTACGTGGTAGGAGATCATCATGAAGAGTTAATTTTCTATTTTTCTTTCTCACCTGCCTTAGGCAATGTCTCATCCAGCAAATAAGTCCATCATTTTGATGTCCTTTCATCAAGAATAATAATCTTTCAGTAAACAGAAAAATCCCATTCACTCACTTCTTTCACTAGAGAGTAAACTGAAGTCGGCATTTCAATTAATACACTACATATAATTCACTAATAACAACATTGATCAGGACGGAGGCACTTTATTATTAATTCATATCCTTCGGGTGATAAAATACCTATTCAAGCCACCATTAGATCGAATCGAATCACGATGTTAGATGTTACCTAGAAATGATAGTTCTTCTAGGTTAGGTTAGGTCCAAAGTGAGTGGGTCTATTCGACCCTCCACCGCAACCCGCAAGGNCTGTGAAATAACAGTACAGAGATTAATTATTCAATTCACAATTTGACCTACCAAGAGCAAAGCCAAAAGCAGAATGAGAAAGTCTGTCACTTCCCAAAATGGCGGACTCATCAACGCGACGGATATACGCGATCTTTTCCCGCCAAGCGAAGTGACATTGCTGATTGTTACCTATGCTGTGGTCCCATCAAGTAGCAATGTGAAATTTAAACATGAAACAGTTTTTGATCCATTGTTTTGAAAATAACAAAAGTAGTATCACTCTTATCACAATAACTCACAAACTTATGAGTAGATTATTATGAAATTTCAACAGCTTTCTTTTGAAAGTAAGTAGTACTATCTGAAAAAGTGGTGAATACAATAAGACTAGCGCCATCTATGTTTTAGGCCCGATACTTTCTCAGCCCAGGTAGTAGATATACTTTTTAGCAGTTCTCAACACAGTTGCCGTTTTCAACTGTTTTAAAAAAATGCAATATTATGTTGTAGATTCAAAAAAAATTGGTTTCAGAATCATTTTCCTGTAAAAAACAATATTTCGGATTCCGATAGATTTTGTTAAATACCCGCCACACCATTTTATTCGAGAAAAATATGCTTATTAATTGAATTATGAATAACACTTGCGCCACGAAGGTTGGAATTGAGAAATAAAAATAATTCTTTTGTGTTTCTCATGAATTTTAGATAGGTACATAAAATAAGTAATATTCAGATCATATATTCAAACTTGGATGATATTCTAAACAGTTTTTCTTTCATTTTCAATATCGCTGAACTAGTATTCAGTATAGTTGGAGTTATTTGTTCGCTAATTAGTATTAATCATTATTTCCTATCCGCAAAAATAGATAAATCATCGGCTAACGACTACTTCCGAAAATCCCCCCTTGAAGTTTTTATCTAGAGGTATGGGTTAAGAATTACCAGTATAATATAATGTGATTCAGTTTGAAGTTGATAAAACAAGTGAATACCAGTGAAGCGGAGCGGTGTATCTAAACAAATTGTAGATAAACAAAAAGACTGAAATAACTGAGTAAGATATCTGTGATAAAAGGTAAAACAACATAATTTTTTTCATGATATTTATTACCTATACTCTCTCGACTTTCTGTAAACTTTTCATTCCATATATGTTAACATTCGTGTCAGCAATCACACGTTAAAAGGTAAGACCTCGTTAGTCCTTAGCTCGTACAAGTTTAGACTTCTGAGGGCTGTCGTTCGTAGTTGGTTAACGCAAAAAACATATTTTAAACATATTTAACTCAAAACTATGTTGCAGCTTTTTGTACAAAGTCAAATTGACCTACCTAATGATAACATTGTGATGCACTGTTTGGAACCTTTGGTTCTGCAAGAGGAAGATCAAACTGGTCTTCATCTTGAAGATGATCACTTGGTGATCGAAACACGTGTCGAGGTGTTAAAATAACGGTTTGGTGTTGGGAAAAAACTCCAGTAATATTCACCACTGATAACAGTAATTATATATTCAACTTAGTTCGTTCAAAATAATCCAAAACTAATCGTCATTTAGCACTTTTCATCGAGTTGCACAGAGTAAGGTTTGAATTGAATTGAAAGTGAAACCCAAAAAATAAACACGGTGCTCATTGATGAATGTTCCTGGCAGCGCCCTCTCCAACCCAAACTGAAATTAAAAAGTCCGCTTTCTATTTTACTTCATAACTCTAGTGTGTTAAGTATTAGAGTTTTTTACATGTTTGTCATTCAGAATGTATTGTCAAATCCATGAGTTAAGTAGGTGGTTCAACCTGTATATCCGATCATTAGTGATGAGAGGGTGATAATACATAGTGTCTCAGGGTCCAAACTGAAGGAACTGATAGAGGAGGTCATTTCTGATGAAATAATTTTGTATAACATGGAATTCTACTTACCGGTTTCGAGAAACTTTTACAAAAAACCTTGCTTCTGTAAAAAAGTCACTACTGTTAAGAGCCAAAAACATTTTCGAAAATTTATTTTTAGAAGTGAATAGCATGACTGCGTTTTTTTCATTTTTATAGGGCAGGGGTCGGCAAGTAGTTTTAGGTGGGGTCCGGATACTGTGGAAAATTTTTAATGAGGTCCAGAAAAAAACAAATGATATTAATTAATAATTGAGTGCTACCTATGTATCATTTTAGTTTCAAATCAAATTTTGAATGATAAAACAAGGCCTTAAATTGATGTGAGAAACTATTCCTACGGTCTTGAGCCAGTTTTATATAATTTAGTTTTCGAGAGGAATGGCAAATTCAGAGTGTGTCTTCTAGGTGGGCATCCGTTAATCTCTAACGATTTTTGATTCATCTTTGAGAAAGATATTTCACATAAGTATGTCGAGCCAAACATAGTGTTTGTTGCAATTTTCATATTTTTCTTGGACATGTTTGGTCCAAAATTATTCGGTGGATACCGTTTTAAACATTTGGAAAGGCACATCATGCACATCAATTATCTCTATTCGAAGTGATGGCTTTGACAGTTCAAACAACTTGGTAGCCACATCTCTCCATTCTGCCGCTACATCAACTTCAAATGACGATTTATGAAACGGAGATAGCTTGTCCATCTCCGCAATGTTTTGGAATCTCGTAGCAAATTCGTTTCTGAGATAGATCGGCCAGAAGTTTTATAAACAATGTTTTCTTCAAGAGTTTTTTTCATATTCAAGAATTGTCGGAAAATAAGTAAATCTTAAAACTCATTAATACAGTTTATTGAATGGTTTTCACTATAAAGGGTTTTACAAAAACCGCGACACAGGGGGGGGGGAGAAACCAGCAAATCAGGAATAGCAAAGCATGTTAGGACTCATCAACAAAACATCAAGCGATCCTAAGCTGAATTCATCCACAAGGAGGAACACTGGTTTAGGAGAAAATTCAAATAAGCCGCATATATGTTGTCCAACAACGCAATTTGCCAATTCACGTCAATTTGCGTAGAGATACGCAACATATGGAAACCTATAATCAAGCGGAAAACGGCCAACTTCCGCCAAACGGTCAGCTTCCGCTAAAAACGATGCAGCGGAGAGGAAAGAGGGGATAGGTGAAAGCACTTGAATGACTTATAAATAGTCAGCTTTCGAAGAAATGAGTCCAGTCATCACCCGAAGATGATTGTGGATACCAACAATGGAAACATCGTGAAGTAACTTGGCTTGAACTCTTTCAATTTTAATTTCTTGTTGATTGTTCAATTTTTAATTGTTGCTGCAATTTGTGCACCGTTTGTGCCCGGTTATAACCGGTTATAACCAGTGGGTCAGGTTTTTGTTGAATAACCCGGGGTTGTGCCATCCCTGAAAAATCTCGAGAGGTATTCTTTGAGTTCATTGTGTTTATTGAGTTCTGTTTCCACTTTTGCTCCTATAGCATTACTTTCATTTTCGAATCGTTCATTATTCCTATTTTCAATACTTTGTGCAGTTCATTCTTTCCCACGTTGTTCTGAGGAAAAAAACAATACGCAGAAAGTGGAAAGAGGAACTTTCGAAGAAAGGAAAAAACATTAAATGCGTGAATAAAAACTATCAACAAAAATGTGTGGCATGTGACAAAAATCTTGTTTTGTATACAAACCGAAAGAAAATAACATCTGAAACAACTACTTCATTGCATTGAGTTCATGGGAATAAACTTTTCTTGTTCGTTATGTATTAGAATTGTCATGAAATTGAAACAGATACTATACAAAGGCACGGTTTACAATATTGCATTTGAGAGAAACAGAAAAACTTTCAATTTTCAGGTGAATTTCAAGAATTTTCGGTTGAAAACACTTTTTTCGGATATTTACGAAAGACAATTCGTGCAATCCTTACAAAAAAATTACGACATTATGCACTGGAAGAAACAAACCTGCGTCTCAATGACATTTCGTATGACATGATGAAAATGATCCCGCTGAGAGAATTTTATGTTATTAGTCGGAAAAGGTGTCAAAATTTTTTCGTAGATGAACAATTTAGTTTTTCCAACGTTTCGGACTTTATTAAATCCATCATCAGGAGTCAAACATCAGTTTATTTTCGTGCCTATGTTGTCTGTTATATATACTTTTAACGTTTTTTAGCATCGACTTAATAACGTCCTCAACGTTGGCAAAAAACTAAATTGTTCATCTTTGAAAAAAAATTTGATCCCTTTCCCAACTAATAATAGCATATGAAAATGTTATTTGGATCACCAAATCTCGTAAATTAGTTTTTGATTGTCAAATATGGTTAAATATAACAGATGATTAAGTATGACTGACTCATTAAGTAGCTGGTGTTATTTTTGTAAATTATTTGGATCGCGGTATTCATATTGTGGAATTTTCCAGGGGAGTGCTTCAATCGCTTTCTTTAGATAAATGAATGCAAATTTAAACAGAAAAAAAGTTCAATTTATCTTCCAGTTGAACTCAGAGACTGACTTGTACATGAATGTTACTCTTTTGTTTCAGACTGAATAATACAAGATGACTCTTAAAGTAGAAAGTGAACAAAATGAAGAATCTAAACCGATATTGGCCTCGAGTTGTGGAGATGATGATTCTTATCTCCAAATACAAAACGTTTACCACAACATTACAAGGTAAGTTGATTTTCTGATTTCAATTTCGATTTTGCATTTGCATATTTTCCAACCCCATTGTTATTACACGATCTTTCACACGTTTTCACTATTACCAATATTGTGAAACTTAGATTACTTGGTCCTGACGAAGTCTCTATTCAGAGACGAAAGCTTGGCAATTTGAGAAATAGAGTAAGTTTGTTTTTTGAACGTATTTGACTAAGTCCCGTTAGTTCCTACCTTCCATATACTATATATAGATAGAGATGTTATTGAAAATGTATGATACAAATGAAAAATGAAACAATTCGTGGACACATACATATATATATATATA